CTTCGAAAGCACCCAGTGCCCTTGACGGACGCACCGTTTTGCTGCAAGGGATGCCAACACACTTGTCACTGCAGATCTGGTGTGACGTCACGACAACTGCCGTTGCTTCTCCTATTCAGAAATGTCAATGTTGCTGTGCAAGCGATGGGTCTAGATCGTGAGAGGAGGCATTCAGCTACACCTCTTTTAAAAGTGAATTAAAATATATTCTACGCGTTCATTTCCTTCGACCCTTCGTGTGCACAGTCCTTGCATACAAAGGAAACCCACAACAGGCTTGGGATAGCCTATAAATTTGGTGGCACCACCCCTTCAGGTAGTTGCCAAGATATCTGCTCCTCGAGCTGAGCATAATGTGAAAAAAACAGTTAATTGAGTATTGCATTTAAAGTTTCAATTTTTCTCTATGTCTCTAAAATGGCTAAAAATTGTGATCTCAGGTTTGTCTTCTGATATTTGGTTTCTCAGGCTTCTGCCCTTTGTCCAGTGTGCCTTTGCGTTTTTTTTTTTTCATAACCTCCTTTTTTTGATTTAGGCAGAGCAAGCATGGATTAAAACCAAGCTTTTTGTATGAAGGAGAGATGTGATAGGCATGACAGAAAACGTTGAAATTGAATATGACCATATACTGAAATTATTACACATATGTTTTGTGTTCAAGCTGTAATTTTTAACATTACGTACTTGATCATAAATATTCACTGAACATTTTTTATATAAAGAGAGGTTTACTGCATCAGGGAAATGGCTCACGCCATGACAGCCTATGCCCTCTTTCCAAATAACGAAGTTATTGGCAGGAGACTGGTGGCACAGGAATAACAGTTTGTTTATTGACGCGAAATGGGCATATAAAAGTTCGTGCCCCTGCTTCTTGCATGCTTTTTTGCCACTCTAGCCGTGAAACGCAGGCCAGTCCCGGAAATGCTAATGTACGAGGTTTTCATTGTCTCAGAACATTGATAAACGCTCGTGGCGATACCAAGCGTGGTTCTAAGCGAGTCTAAATCGCATCATAAAAGCCCTCTATATGACCATGGAGTGCACAGCACGTAGACAGTGCAGGCGGCGTGTGATGCACTTGACGGTGACGTTCCCGGACGATGCACGAAATGTGTAGCTACGATGACAAAAAAATCGGTGCCCACTGCGCTTGGTATCGCATTTTCGAGTGACAATGCGCGAAACTGCTAGCCGCTGTTCCGAGCAATCCTTGGCAGTAGAAGAGAGGGGGGGGGGTTGACGAGCTTGATGCTAGGGTCCGCCGTCAATACGTAAAATGCCCATCCACCATTCCGAGGAGGTAGTGAGTGATGTTCTCCATTGCTTGCGAAAAAGCACATCGCCACGAGTGCCCTAGCACGTCACTTTTGCCAGCAGTCTTGTCGTCAGCAGAGTTAGGCCTAATAACAACTCCGATAACACGCCGCGCTCGTAGACCACGTGCCCGCTCAAAGTAATTTGATCATGCATCCGTTTACAGCTCCTAACTAAAGCATAGTTATGTCCCAAGTGATTATCGAGCCGTGAACACGTCAGGAAGTAGCGATTTTCGAAAGCCATGTCCTTGACGCACAAGCGGCAGACGACGATCTCCTGGAGCGAGCACGAGGCCAATGGCAAGGCGAGCTGAGGCAACATGGCAGCCACAGCCAATCAGGGGCCTCAAAACGACCTTCAAAGATTTGCTTTTTGTGCGCTTGTTCTTGACCCTTTGACTGCTTTGGACGAGCAGAGGTCGTCCCACCCAAACTGTCACCAAACTGCTTTGGAGGAGTAGAGCTTGTCCTAGCAGAATAGGTACTCCCCTCTACAATTCAGGCGGAGAAGCGCGCATTTACAGGTCATATCACATGTCATCCACTAGAAGGCAGCATTTTCTCGACGATTTAGTTTACTTCTGTGGCAGGAGCAGGGCTTTTGTATAGTAAGATGTGTGCGGCGGTGACCCAGTTACAGCTGACCCACGAAGACGAAAAAGTGATTATGATTCGAGTAAAGATATTTATCATGTGTTTGGAAGTGAAGACAGTGATGACGGGGAATGAGTAGCTCCTCCGGTAAAGATAAAGACAGTTCGCACATGAACAATGCGAGTGCCCGCCAGCGAAGCCACCTTGCGTTATTCCACATTTTGAAATTTTCCGCACAGCTTCGAAGCCTCCCGAGTGAAAATACCCCATGGGTGCTTAGCCTACATAAGTGAAGAAAGATGTGGCGTATGTAACTGTTTTCGTTATAAGGTTATAATTCTTATTGGCAGCAGGTAGCTCATTTCTATGTATTGTTCAGAAATTAACTTTTTCTGTTGATTTGACTAAGTATGTGATGAAAATATTTTTTCAACATCGACTAGCTACTTTTCAGAACAACCAGAATTAAAATCCGCATTAAAAATAGGCACTTTTTGACCTGCAATTTTCAAAAAAAAAATGAGTAATTAAGGGGTTAAAAGGAGGAGCCAGCTGAGGCGGGAAATTTGAACATGGAGAAACGCTCTTTCTGATGAGCCCAAGAAGCCAACTTCTGGCTGCACCATCGCAAAGCTATAATTTTATAATTTTTTAAAAGTAGCTGTTTTCTCACAATTTCCAGAATAATTTTCGCTACCTAAAAGGGTGAAATGAATTTTCCGAAGCACTTCTGCACGTTTTTCAGCTTAGATATTTTGGAATAAGATAGAAAAAGGGTTCTAGAAATTGAAAATGATTTTCAAAAAATAAATTTTTTCGCCATTTTTTGTTATCCCAAAGCCACGTCCCCTCTTAATGCATAATACTAACGTAGGCCTATATGTATATTTTTGTATGTATGTTATGTAAAGACATGAACAATATTTTAATACTAACAAAGAAACCGTCAAATGCATGCAGTAATGAACAGTCATGTGGCTGAGTACATCGGATCATACATGTTTTGCTGCCAGAGGCACTATAAGTCATTTTACATAACCTTCAATTAAAAACAACAATAAAAATTCACCTCTCTCCCGAAAAATCACAGCATATCCACGGAGTGCATGATGATAAGTGGGGCGAAACGTCCATCCGTGCGTCTCTGCATATGTCCGTGCATCCATCCCGTCTGTGCATCCATCCGCGCCTCCGTCCTTGCATTCATCCGTGCGTCCATCCCTCCGTCCGTCCATCCACCTATCCGTGCGTGCGTCCCTCGGTCCGTGCATCTGTCTGTCCGTCCATTCGTCCGCCCATCTAGTGAACACTTCAAGTACCGCCATCTCGCGTCTTTTCAACATACATTCAGCATATAGAAGTACCGCCATCCATCCAGTGGACGTTCCAAGGACTAAGCGAGAGGTGGCACTCGCGCACTTTCTTACGGCCTGCGCTCTGTGTCTACTTCCCAGCTTTCATGGCCTCTAGTTCATGGCTACATACTAGTTCACTATATTGATGGCCCTGCGGTCTAACCCTCGCTAAACCTTGCTAAAACCAAGGAGGTTATGCCCAGCGAGTTTAACGTGGCAACTCTTTCTGGTCAGATAGAGCTCAAAGTGCGTTCTTCTGATACTAGTTTTTTTAAGTAAGCATCAAATTCAAGGCAGATTTTATTGGAGATTAAGTCACCGATACTTGTCCCCGAAACTTAAGTCATCAGAAACAACTATTTTTTTATTTATGATTAACGTGCGTGGATTTCCTCCTCAATTGAAAAGGGTGCACGCGTGCCACTCCTCTAGTCCAACCGTTGAGCTGGCTACCTACTACTACTATGACGAAGACTACTACTACTACTCCTACATACATCACGGATGCACGACCCACGGTATAGGGAGCTTTGCCCCCAAAAACAGGGTTGGTTTGAGTCAGTGCCACAGGCAATCTTTCTGTAAGCATAGCCATCTCATTTTATCTTCTCGGCAATTGCCGGCCCTTTAAAAAGTCCTGTGTCCCAACTACTACCATGCATAGCAATGAGCAAGCAGCACCTTAGACTACTGTCTGCCTTCATATACCACATATTATTGCCTTCCTTCTCACACTCCTGCCTTCTGCTGCCTCCCTCTCAGTGCAGTGCGCCCCAAAGATCGCAGCAGCTAGGTGATGATGCAATCTTGGACACCCAGTAGCAGAAAAGATAAACATGATGGAGAGCAATCACTTTTGCGGGGAGGAGAAAAAATGACTAGTGCATCCACTCGTAATAGTAGGGGACAAATGCTACAGACGCTGATGTGGCTAGGCATGACCCGTTAGATCGCATCAGCATTAAAGCAACTTTAGGAGCTGAAAGCAGGGCAAGTCAAGCAAGCACAGAGAGGTTCACTGACTAATGTGTGACCTATGTACCTAATAACTCATGAGCATTAGGCAGGCTGAATGAATGGCAAAGCCTGCAAACTGGGTTGTGTGCCACATGCTGCTTGTTCACAGCAAACATTTTTTTAGTCCTTTTTTCTCGACTGCATTGCCGTTTAGCCAGTTTCGTGGAATGTAGACAAGCCAAGCAAAAACATGAAACAGAACAAAGGCTGTCATGCTAAGTACTAAAATGTTGCACAATCCCGACACTGTGCATTTTTTTTAATCATTAGTAAAATTTCATTCCATATGTCGTTCTTGAGCTTTACTTTGGGCCGTAACACCATTTTCTTCATTCCATGTCCCAAGTCTTGCACCGCATCATTCAGATATTACAGTAATGGGCAACGATGTGTATAAGATAAAAATGGTTATAGGAAAGTTATGACTCCCCATTTGGGCTCGTTATGAGTCTCTCGCACACCTGAACATTGCATTTATGCAATAAAATAAACTATTACAGTTTTGCACAGTTCTCAGAAACTCGAACAATTAGTGACACACTAAATACTAGAGGTATTCAAAAGAGCTCGTAGGAATTGCAAACTAAGCACTCAGTTACAACCATCTATACATGATACAACACTTTACCTTAAAGACCTCAATTTGATATTTCTGTTACTTTGACAGTGTCAGTAAAGTTTCATATAGGTCCTTCGCATAAAGACAGCACATTACCTTCTTGTGCGCTCCAAAAAAGCCATTTCTGCATCCCCGATCCTGTAACGAGCCCAGTGGTCCTACAGAGGGGCAGGTCAGAAAGGCCATTCACTATGAGGTAGCAAACATCCAAGCTCTAGTCTTCGAACTCACCTCTGAGTGGGCTTCACAGCCGTCAACAAAAAGAGAGGGCCGAAAATTGCGCTGTCTGATGTCGCTACCTGGAGGCAGCCTGGACACTAGCTCATCAAGAGACGGCTTTGAGAGGACTTGAAATGATGACCGATCTTGGAAGGCAACCTAAAAGCAAGGCAAATATACGTCAGCTGAGATACAAGAAGAAGCACATGAGAAAGCGAAAACTGCAGAAGTGACCAATGGAGGGCCACCGACCTTCTAATTTAATTAGACATGGGTTATACATAGGACTCACAACTTATTTCCTTGAACCCATCAGCAAAGTACTTTAGCTTTGACAAGAACTTCAAAAATTTAAGGAGTGCAAATACCTGTCATATCGATAAATGGTCATACTGTGCAAATCACATTTCCCGAACTTTCACCATTCACAACATGAAACCACAAGAAGTTTGACAAACGAAAATTCAATGCTGCATCAGTGTATGTCTGGCCCTTCTGGGACCAGTAGGAGTTCAAAGAAAGATAGAAGCTTGAAGCAATGAAAAATCCTCGAGACATGGTGTTTTAATCCAGGCAACTTTTCTACAAGTGGTCCTGAAGGAGCTGCCTTGAGGACGACGAGAAGCTGCGAACATTTTGACAAGGTCCAATGTCAAAATGTCGACTCCAGTGACACCCAAAGTTCCAAGGATTTTCATTCTTTTGAGAAAAGGATAGTCAGGGAGTAAGAGGATGCTGTGATGACCGTGCTTGTGATCACAGTCGGGCCTGTGGGCGAGCCGGCAGTGACATGGTCCACTGAACCTAGGAAACAGGCGTGCTGAGTCGGCCTACGTGTATTGGCGGGCGTGCCCAACCACATGGTCAGGGCATCTGCCTGGGCGGCGGTGTCATCGACTGCCATGGGTGTGCGACAACCAAGGAGCAGCATAAATAACACCAGGAGGCTCATCGACGCATTGAACCACCACGATGAATGCCACACGAGTCATCCCATAGGTGTATCTACCGGGGGAGGCAAGGGGGGGGGGCGGAGCATCGCAGTTTGAACAATGGTTATTATCAGTTTTAGTCGGGGAAACCATCAAATGAGAAGGGTTACTTTTAGCCAGCAATCATTTATTTATATAATGAAATTTGTTTTACGCTTCTGCTGTAGAGACTGTTTTGAGCACTGTGCACTACAGCATTGCACAAAGGGCTATGAGTAGAGGCCCAACAATGTTAGAACATTCTGTCATGGCTTTATTCTGCTCTGACAGGTCTCAAATGTACACAATCATGGACGGAAACGTGGGAAGAAACCACTAAATATTCTAAGAACAGATAACACTGTTAACAGATAACACAGATAACTAACAGAATCCAGGTACAGGCTCTCCACGGGGCTAGTTCGAAAAGCACCCGTAAAGAGGCGAATGCCTAGATGGTGGATAGGGTCGAGTATCTTTAAGGCTGATGCTGTCGCAGACTGATAGATTATAGCACCGCACTGTAGACGTGTGCATACGAGGCTTTTATATAAATTCATCAGACATTTCCTGTCACTACTCCACGTAGTGCGTGACAACACTTTCAAAATATATACTGTTTTTAAGCACCTGTCTTTTAAATACTTGACGTGTAGGATGAAGGTTAGTTTTGTGTCTAATATTAGTCCAAGAAACTTGTGCTGGATCTTCACTGACAGAGGTTGGCCATGCAGGTCAATGTTGGGGTCAGGATGGAAGCCCCTCTTTCGGCAGAACAAGACACAAGTGCTCTTTTGCGCGTTGAGTATAAAACCATTCTGATCTGCCCATTGAGATACCTTGTTCAACCCTAGTAGAACTTGACATTGGTGCATTGAGATGTTGCACGATTTGAAACCCATCTGTACATCATCGACATATATGCACTAAAAATATTACATGGGAGAGACAAGTGCAAGGAATTCATTTTAACTAAGAAAAGTGTGTAACTCAATACACCTTGTTGTGGCACTCCTGTTTCTTGGACAAATATTCGAGATAAGACAGTGCTAACTCGGACACGGAATGTACAGTTGGGACAGGTAGCTTTCGATGATTGTCAGCGTTCTACCCCGCACACCTAAATGTGACAGGTCTCGCAATATGGCAAAGCACCATGTAGTGTCATATGCCTTCTCCATATCGAGGAACACAGAAAGAAAAAATTGCTTATGAACGAAAGCGTTGCGAATTTGTGTCTCAACACGGACAAGGTTGTCAGTGGTGGACCGAGCCTCTCGAAACCCACACTGGTATGGGTCAAGTAGGCCATTAGTTTCAAGAAAGTGAATCAAGCCCCTGTTTATCATTTTCTCAAAGACCTTGCAAAGACAGCTGATCAACGCTATTGGTCTGTAGCTGGAAATCGAGAATGGGTCCTGGCCTTGTTTTAGAATTGGGATAATGATCGCTTCCTTCCAGGCTGAGGGTAGCTCGCCGGAAAACCATATCGCATTATACAGGGAGGAGAGCTTTTTAGGTTTCAGTGGACAGATGTTTCAACATTTCATATGCCACACGGCAGCAGGTAAGTGAGGCTTGTAGTTCTGCCAAACAGAAAGGTTCATTGTATGGCTCGTGAGTTGTGGGTTTGGGCTCTAATCTCTGTTTTTCTATCCTGCTTTTTTTATCGTTAGAATGCTTCCCTATAGTGTGATGAGCTGGATACCTGTTTGAAGCGCGCCCCGAAAGTGTTCGCCTGGTCTTCCAAACTCTCCCTTTGTGTGTTCACTAGAGGAAGTGTGTGAGCTTGTCGTCCTGCTACCTGACCAACGATGTTCCAGACTCTCGCCTCATCTGTGTATGAATTAATGCCTGATAAGAATTTATGCCAACTTTCTCTTCTCACCTGTCGGCGTGCCCTCCTTCCTTGCGACTTGATGTTCTTAAAGTTTACAAGATTCTCGGCTGTAGGCGAGTCTCTAAGCAATTTCCATGCCTTATTTTGTTTTTTGTGCATATTACAACACTCATTACTGTACCATGGGACCCGTCGTTTGCCTGACGGTCCACATGTTTGTGGTATACATTTCGCTGCAACATCAATCAAAAAAGCTGTCAGGTAGCTCACAGCAGGTTCTATGCTTAACATCCCCACATCAGTTCAAGTTAGGAGAGTAATTTTTTAAACTGTTCCCAATCGGCTCTATCGGTGAGCCATTTGGGAAACTGTGGAGGACATATATTTGATATTGATTTGCTGAGAACTATAAAAAATGATCTCTATCGTATGAATTATTGATGAATTCCCATTTAAATAGAGTAGGAGTGATGGAGATGTTATGCTGAGGTCTATTGACGAGTAGGTATTGTTAACAATATTGTATTATGTTGGCTTTTTACGATTCAGGAGGCACGCGCCAGGAAAAAAAAGGAACTGTTCAATCAGACGACCTCGCGCATCAGAACGAGTGTCGCCCCATAAGCTATTATGCGCATTAATGTCCCCTAGGACAACATAGAATTCTGGGAGTTGATCTATGAATGACTGGAATTCCTGTTTATTGAGTTGGTGAGGCAGGGATATGTAAATAGAGCAACCGGTGACCAGTTTGTAGAAGTGAACAGCTCGGACAGCCACCGCCTCAAGGGGTGTCTGAAGCGGTAAATGTGCACAAGCTGTTCCTTGATTAACTACGACGGTAACGCTGCCAGATGATGCAACAGCATCATCCAGATCTTTTCGAAAAATAGTGTAACTGCGTAGGAAGCTTGTGTGCTTGGATTTTAAGTGTGTTTCTTGCACACACAGCACTTTTGGTGTACGTTTGTGTAGAAGTTCTTGGATATCGTCAAGGTTTCTCAGCAGTCCTCTGACGTTCCACTGTAGTATTTGTGTCGTTTTATTGTTGTGTGGTGCTGTGTGTAGAAAAGTGTTGATATAGGTTGTAGGGCCTTTTGGGGGCCCTGTAATTCGGGGTTTTTCTTTTTTTGGTGCGCACCAAAGAGTTGCGTGAGGCACTAGAGGAGGGGGACTTGTACCCATCACCTCCTGCAAGGTGGCGGATAATGCCTGATTAGCAGGCATGTTCACAGAAATTTCGGACCTAACTGCCGGTGCAGTGGTCCGGGGTCCGGCAGACTCTGAAGTCGGCTGAACCTGTTTAGCAGGAGGCAGAGCAGCACAGGCTACGTCAGCCTTGGGCGCAGACGGCGCGACCGCGGTCACACTTTGTGCAACAATCGCAGATGCGGGAAGATGTGATGTGGCCCCCTGGTACGTCACATCTGCAAAGGAGGGAGAATGCTTGTTGCGGAGAGAAAAGCGCTGGCACCTCTTGAAAAGACAGATTGGATATAACTTCAAGTTCAACAATTTGTTTTTCTTTTTTCCAGCATGGGCATGACCGCGAGTAGGCGGGATGGTCTTCTCCGCAGTTCGCACAGGGGGCTGCAGCAGTACAATCATTCAATGGGTGTTCGCTGGAGCTACAGTTTGCGTAAGTAGCGCTTTCTCTGCAGCTTTGCGACCCATGTTGAAAGCGCAGACATTTGAAACACCTACACACATCGAAACACCTTGGTATGTAGGGCCTGACAAAAAGCTTGCAGTAGCCGGTCTCAATTGAATTGGGTAAGTCACTGGTACCGAAGGTGATCATTATATGTTTTTTTGGTGCTTCTTTTTTGTTTTGTTATATCACTATTCTTTGGAGCTTCACTACGTTCTGGTCTTGCCAGACTTGCAATAGTTCACTCTCTGATAATTCAAGAAGGTCGTCATCAGAAATGACACCGCAAACTGTGTTCAAGGATCTGTGGGGGCCTATGAAAACTGGGACATCCCCAAACGCTACTAGTTTAGATAGGTTGTCGTATTGGAGCTTGTCGCCCACCTCCAAAATGAGGTCGTCGCTTCCCAACTTGGTTACACGATACGTGAGGGGCCGATTGCTTCAGCAGGTGTTTTTGAGACAAGAAAAGATGAGATTGCTCGGACTGCTTTGTTTTCTTTCTGACTATGCCCGACATGAAACTTGGGGAAAGACTACTCTGGTTTTGAGAAAAGAAAGGATTTTTCCATGCACCACCTTTTCGGGCGGCGATCAGGGAGGGGGGAGGAAAAAGTTGGCCATACAGATTGTGTAAAGTTCGGCGGCGATGGTGGCCACCCACTACCTACCCAACAAGTGGACGCTACAAGGTTTA